ATCTAACTTTCATATCCATGAGTCTATGACAAATCTCTCACAACCGAAAGGAAAAAAAGGAGGGAAAAAAAACCCCAATAATGGTGTCCCTATAGGAGCTATAACCAAGTTTGATTATTTGGTGGAGTAGGGATCCAAGAAGCACCAAAGTTTGATTCTTAAAGAGAATACAAGAAGAAATTTCTCATCATTCTCTTAATTCTGATATGATAATAGAGGTTAGACATTCATAACAAGAGATAATAAGCATATAAATTAACATTAAACGATTTATCATAGAACCAGATAGCAAACCCTTCATTCCATTCCACTTTCCCAAACAAAATCAAAAAGAAAAACCCAGAAAAAAAAGAACTCCATATTCACACAAGTTTCCTGAAATTAACCTTATTTCTGCTGCAACTAGCTATCCTCTGTTTTCTTTTCACCCTTGTTAGCAGCATCTAAAAGCTCAACACCAACAGATGACAAGCAAAAAACCCCCCCATGAAATTAAATAACAAAAGCTTCTCATCCTTTTTTAGGCCATGGCCTCTAAATGTTCCCGGAAAACCCTTAACATGTCGGAGAAAGTGACGATTCCGACCAAGCTACAGTCCTCTTCTATCACCCAAACGTAGTTGACTCTGTGTGCAATTGCCTGAATCATCACAGCAACCAGGGAACTCTTGGGGTGGCAGACTATGGCCTCTGCCCGCCGGACCATCCTGGCTGAGTAACTCATTGACCTACTGTGCCGTAGTGATCTGCCTAGAGGGGAAACCCGACCGGTAGACTCTTCATCGGATGAAGAGGAGGATAATGTGGTGGAAGAGAGTGAGGTGGTGAAGTAGTCCAGCATTCCGTTTAGGTTTCTCTCCTTCAGCCTAGCGGTGACAACCCGGACGAGGTCCTCCGGTGGCCCACCGCAGTCAATGTAGGCCATGAGATCCCCGGCGGAGAGAGTGGTGAGGGCTCCCGCGACCGTCTCGTCGCAACAGGCTAGCGTGTAGGGGGAGATCTCGCCGATCAGAGTCCCATCAGAATCCACCACGGCGACAGAGGTTTGGTCCGCCAGAGAGCGGGCAATGGCTGGTACAGCAGCGGAGGCAGGGGAGTGGTAGTCGATGGTGGTGACGTCGGGGCTAATGATGCCGAGAGATTCGATGGAGAGGGCCGGGATTGGGGAGAAAAGCCCGATTGAACTCAGTAAGAACCGGATCACGTCTTCTTGGGTTAGCCAGCAAAATTCACGGCCGCCGTGGATGGTAGCGGTTGCCGACGGCTTCTGGTGCTGCTTCTTCCGGCTACTCAGCCTGGTTTTGATGGGAACTACCAGATTCTGTGCTCCTTTTAGTATGAAATCAATGGCTTCCAACAAACTGAAAAAAAAAAAAAAAAATTCAACCAAAATCCAGAAAGAAACAGAGCTTTGGAAGAACAGAAAAGACCCAAAAGAGAACAAAAAATGGGGATAATCGAATCGGAAGAATCCAAAATTCGACCTCATCAGTACCTGCAGGATGGTTCCACGTGCATAACAAGGCCGGAAATTTCCGGCAGGAGAACAGAGACCGGCGCGTTCAGAGCAGCAGATGGTGATTTGAGGCTTTCTTCTTTACAAAGGTAACAGATTACATCCACTATGGAAATTTTGCCTATACACCGGCAGTCGTCGTCGTCGTCGTCGGCGGTGGCGGTGGCGGTGGCGGCGCCAGAGCCAAAGCCGGCCTTGTGTTTGCAACCCCAAATGCTGACAGAGTTGTCGTCCGAGTTTCTCAGGACCTCAAGTGCATCAGCAATGGTAGTGGTGACCGAGAGGGACCTCAGCGCTGGCTTGCCGAGACAGAGGTCAGATACCCCATGCGCCAGTAAGGTCACTGCCATGCAAAAACTGGAGGAAATGGGGGAGCAGCAGTTTTGAGCGAGAAAGGTTAGGGTAGCAAAGGATGAGAAAGGCTGTTCTGTTCAGCTCTTCTCAGGCGGAGGCGGAAGCAGAATCAGAGGCAGAGGGTTACTTTGGTGGCGGTGGTGGTAGTGGTGGAGGTGGTGTGGGGTGTGTGTGATTGCAGGTAGAGGGCGTATCTATATATATAAGAGAAAGGTAGATCGTAGGCGATATACACTTGTTTGCACTTTGAAGGTTAAATGCTCATTTGGTCCCTAAACTTTATCGATTTACACAATTTTGGTCCCTAAAGTATTTTATGCACATTATTGATTCCTCAACTCTAAAAAATGCACAACGTTAATCTTTTCGTCAATTTGTATTGTTAACTCCATCTACGTAGCATTTTTTGTTATTTTTTTAATGATATGGCAAATTACGTGATATTTTTTATATTTTAATTAATGATATAACAAATTAAATTAAATCTAAATGCTTATATAGATAAAAAAAAAATGATGCCCAAGTTAGATTTCATTAATTAATTATCATTAAACTATAATTACTTATGTTAATTAAAATTGAGATTCTATTTAGTTTATAATTAAATCACAATTTTCTTATCAAATTTTCTTTATAGATATTATAATTTTTTCTCGGCAATAAAACAAATTGAAATCATTTTCTCAGCATCCAAACACCCAAACTGTACAATTTTCTAGCCAAGCAAATGGAAACTAAAAATTGCTTCTTTGCCCATCAGTCACTGTTTCTGTTCTTTCCATCGTTGGTGATGTTCTTTCCATTTTGAACATTAAAATCATTTAGACAATAATTAGGAAATATGAAGCAAAAGGATTCAAAAATCCCTCACAACCTGCAATTTGCATAAACTCTTCGCAACAAATATATAACAAAAAAAAAAAGTAGTTGGGTTCCATCGAACCCAGATCTGTTGGGTCAGCCTAGGTTTGAGGAACCTAGCAGATGGGTTCCATTGAACCTAAGCTGGGTTCCCTTGATCCATCAAACCCGAGCTGGGTTCCCTTGAATCCAGATTAGCTGAGTTTGAAGGAACCTAGCAACACAAAGGAAGAAAGAAAAAGAAGAAAGAAAGGAAGATGGATCGAAAGAGGGGAAGAAGATGGATCAAGAAAGGGAGACAGGAGTATTAAGGTAAATTTGTAGTTTTTTATTTTTTTATTAAATATATAAATATTAATCTAATTTGACATATGAGTTGGCGTTTTTATTTTCAATTTATATGATATGTTATTGCCATATCATAAAAAAATTAAAAAAAAATATCACTGTATAACTTTTTAACTACCATGTTACGGATAATTGATAGAAGATCAATATTGTGCATTTCTTAAAGTTAAGGGATAAAAAATGTGCACAAAATACTTTAGGGACCAAAATGTGTAAATCGTTAAAGTTGAGGGACTAAAATGAGCATTTAACCCTTGTTTTGAATATGAAGCAGGGTGCGGTCTAACGTACAAGAAGAGTAGGGTCCAGTTGGGGTCCACTTTGTTTTGCTTTGAGCAACGGGGTCCACTTGTTTGTTGTTTTGATATCTGTCGAACTGAAATGGAAATTGCATCCCTCCGCAAATTGCACTTTATTTAACTATTAATTGATGAGGAAACAAATTTCAACAAATTTTTTATTTTTTATTTTTTTTATTTTTTTAACATGGAGAAACTATGGCAGCAGAGAAATTTTTTTAAGAGATCGATGAGAGTTAAATTCCTGTTCTTTAGAAATGAACCAATAGTTTTGAAGGCCTGGTTCCAACAAATTTTTTAGTTTAATAATGTTGTTTATAGTATTTATATATATATTTATAGTATTTTTATAATTTATGTATTTAATAAATTATTTTTCCTTATTGTTTTGGATAGGAATCCAAAACTATTTTTTCTAAAAT